TACAGGAGGAGATTGTCCCTCCTTCCTCGGCAGAGCATCTGGTGGATTCGAACCATGCGCCTCTGGGATTGCAGTGCAGCTTCTTGCCACTAGGCCACCAGAGCTCCCCTGGGCACCTTAGTCTTTTTAACTAACTAGTAATCATTGCTTTTAGTGGCATCTAGTACCCTCTGGATCCAGAGAATGGTTGTTTTCCCAGATGGCTAGTGCTGGACACCCAGCGGGCACACACGCACTTAGACGTCCTTACTAAGCAACAGTGAGTAACTTGGCCCCACCTGCAAACCTGCTCCTACAGTACGACTGGCATCTGTCTCTTCCTGTGCCCAGCACCCTCCTACGGAGTCTAAGCCTCTTTTCAAATTCACAGTCCCTGACAGCGACGGAGCGACCAGTAAGCCAGGTAAGCGTGGGCTTAGCTCCTAATCTAGAGGATTTCTGCTCACCCCGGACGAGGAAGCCAGAACAAATAAACCCTGGCTTTCCTCAGACTCTTGTCAGCTTGCCTCGCTCTCCCAGAAGTCTTGAGCCCAGCTGGCCACAGAGAGAGGCACATTTTTGAAATGGTCAGGGCTCTCTGAACTTGAACAAGGTCTTAAAGCCAATAAACAGATGGATGTCGGCCCCATGCGTGCCAACGTTGAACCGTGCACCCCAGACTTCTCAGTGGCTGGCTGCAGGGGCGGATGCCTGGCCTTTCTGACCAGGAGGCTCAGGGGGGACTCAAACCTCTGCCTTTCAGTTAGTGTGTTCACTGCTCTGTCCAGAATGGGTACTCAAAAACTCAGACTCTTCCGACACACCTATGCCCATTATCCCAGTTACTATGGCAATCCATCTCATCCGGAGTCTTCCTCTCCTGTGCTGTCCCTCCACCCTTCTAATCATGATTTCCTTCTCTTAGGGCCAGTCTGTCCTGGCCACATGCCCAGAGTATGTGAGATGAAGCTTCAAAATCCTATCACCCAAGGAGAAACTTGGTTTCACCCTCTCCAAGACAGACCTGTTTGTTCTCTTGGAGGTCCATAGAATGTTCAGTACTCTTATCCAACACCACAGCTCAAAGGCATTGATTTTTCTCCTGCCATCTTTAGTCATTATCCAGTTCTCTGATGTATATAGCAAGTAACTGCAAAGACCATGGCCTGGATCAGGCGCACCTTAGTCTCCAGACTGACATCTTTGCTCTTCAGTACTCTAGAGAGGTCCCTGACAGGACAGTTTAAATTTGTTCCATTTGTTCCTCAGCTCAGCATTCCCTGCTATGATACAGATATTTCTGTAAGTAGAGTCCCTGGGCAGTGATATAGTATCACCACTGATCAGTCTTAAATGACTCAATGAAAACAGTTTTTGTCTCTTGTATTCTTACGCATATCACAAGTGAGATTCACCCAGTGTTGACAATTGTATTTGCTTCACAGTGATGATCATAGTGACCGTTTACTCAAAGGATCGGATTTCCTGGTATTAAATATATGTTTTATAGTAAAACAAACAAACAAAAACCCACACACCCAAAAAGAACCCTCAAACTCTTAAAAAAAACCCAAAACCACAAAAACCCCAAACCCTCAAACTCAATACTGTCCAGTGGGAACCAGCTCATAGCTGACGGCTCAGAGGCCACTGGAAGAGACTGCCCATCTTTCTCACAAGGACCAGGTGGTAGCTTCGAACTACCCACCTTGGGGTTGGCAGTGCAACCCTCACCCACCAGGCTACCAGAACCTCCTGGAATAGGGATTATTGTTGTTGACTGCTGTCAAGTTGAGCACAACTCATAGTGATCCTATGAACAAAAGACCTAAAGCTTTACTATAATTATCGTCGTTTCTCCAAGTTCATAGAGTTTCTGGAGGTATGTTGTTTAAGAAGTGGATGCCACTCCTGCTTCCAAA